TGAAGTAGACATACTGTGGCTATCATATTAAGGAGATCTTATTTGCGTACAACTTCGAAGTTGACTTTCCCGATAGAAGAGAATGGAAGTCTTTTACTATTCTAAGCAATGGCGAAATTTCAATATTGGTATATAGCTCAAAACAGGATTTGGCAGTCACTTCAAGCAACATTCTGGTGTTTTTCAGATTACGGTCTAGTAATTGGCGTCGCGGTAAAGTTTGTAAGCATGATTAAACTTGCTTCTTCAAAACTCATGTGGCTTTAGGAGACAAGCCACGATGAAGACCCTTAGGTCGACAACGACTTACTCGATTATGTGTCTGGAAATGTCGAAGTTGCCTTAGGTAACACACAAACAAACTATACTGGGATGCTAACAGCAGGTAGACCAATCTGGACACATGCGGAGAGAGAGCGATAACAAAGGACACGGAATTTACTGAATCTTTGGAAACAGAACATAAAGCTTGGCTACATTAAATTTTCATTTCTTTACATATAATATAGTATATACTTATATATGTATGTATATTATATAAATAAAATAATAAATTAGGTCAACTTGTTTGCGATTTTTACCCAAATACATTTTACAACAACGAGAAATGTTAAAAACAAACTATACAAACCAACACTATTCGGAAGTCGTAGATAACGATGACGAATACGACGCCGACGACACACTTCAAATAGGCAATAAAACAAAATAAACGCAATAATAGAACCAATAACTAAACACAAATGATACGCCGTTCGATGATCCATCTTTATGCGAAGAATACACGAAATACACTAAAAAGTTAAGACATACATATGAATGCTTTTCGAATAAACAAAAGAATCAATTTGGCTGATAAGTAAACAAACAAATGTGTTATGGTTGACTTCAAGCGCATTTTGATTAAAGAGCAATATGATACGTTCATACATAAATGTAGCTTATTTGCTGGAAGAACGTCGTAACTCAAAAAAAAAAAACGTAAAAACAGAGAAAAAATGTTTAAACTTTTAGTTATGGTTCTGGTAAACGATGATAATAGTTCTCGTTAGGAAAGAAATTCACACTAATAAGAATGTATATTTTTACTCGCATCGTAGCGAATGAGAGTGAATCCCTATTCTCATGAGAATTATTCTCATAAACTTAGCCTCTTGATATCGCAGCACAAAACAAAAGCGATCTTTATTTATTTAGCAAAACGAAGATATTCAAACACTGAGCGCTGAGGTTTACAAGAGCACAGCAAGACAATGATGTACATATGTCCCAGTGGCAAGCAAGGTGGTATGCTGCTTCAAACAGAAGATGAAGTCTACATTTTAATCCTCTCACGAGCATAAAAATTTGCTTTTTAGGGGGTTTTCCGAAGTAAGTATCAAAACGACCCTTTCAAGCAGGAGCTATGAAATTTTACTATATTTTACTGTATTATATACCAGGAGAGTTTGTCATTGCAGAATTACTGCCTTCATGGTTCCTGACTGTCTATGAAAATGTTGACACGTTATTCTGAAAAAGTTGAAACATAGATTTTGGTATTAAAATGGTACTAGCAAAAATTTGCAGACGTCAAAAAACCAGCCATTTGTCGCATTCAAACGCCAGCAAACCTCTTGCTTTCTCAAAATATAATTAGTGCATATTTTTTTCTTTTTATCTTATTTTTACCTAAAATCTATTTTATTCCAAGTAGACAAGCGAACTACATAGTCATGGTACGAGTACTAAATTGTGTAATGTATGTGAAATTCTTCAAAAGACATGTACACCACGTGTACTCGCGATGAATCATCCTACTACTTAATATGGGTTTGTGGGTTTTTAGCTCAATCACGCGAAAACGACCAAACTAGTTTACATGAAATTTTGCTTGCAGATAATAGTATATGAACTGGATTGAAAAAAATGCTACTATTTTTTTTTTGTAAGAGTTGCCATCTGTTAAATATTTCAATTAAATTAATAAGTTCAATCAAACAATACAATACGGGCGCCAAACGAAAAAAAAACTAAGAGAGTTTAATTTCGAACATATTTTTGCCACCTGTTTGAAAATAAAATTTTGCACACAGATAGTTTATGACCAGGATTTAAAAATAGACTACTGCCTTGACCGCTTTTCCGATAAGACCAAATTTGGCACACTTACTAAGGATTTCTTAAAGATGGCCAAATTGGAATTATATATCTCTGGATGTAAGTATTTGTGGCAGAGTACCGGAACTTGTTATTGTAAAGGGTTTCCGTCGAGTTAAAACGTTATAATCTCCACTATTTACGTTTATTCTTTTGCTTTTTTTCTAGAATTTTTTTGTTGTGTGCTACATACTGTCGGCAGTTTAGTGTTCCACATATGGAACAAAAATTTATTAATCAATGAGTTTGTTCCATCATTCTTAGCAGCGCCAAAGGATTCAAAAAAAAAATAGACAGTCGCCCAAAGACAAACCACGAAATAATTATTACTTGGCTGTACTAATGTTTCGATTATTTTATTTACACAATTTACATTCCAGTGTGCTCACATTATCACGATCACTAAAAAAAAACACACATGATTTCATGACTCACAACGAGAAAATCATACTCAACACCCACATGCATTTAACGAATTCGAATAATTAAAACACTTTCAATACTAACCACTTGAAAACGTTGTGCTATTGTGCGTATTTCGTTTCTTTCGAATGGCTAAATAGCAGGATATGCACATGCACGACAGAGCTAATGCAGCAAAAATGCAGAACATTACAATTCCTACAGTGGCACCACTCGTCATTTTGTACTAAATAAATTTCTTGAAAATCTTAAAAATATTTTCTATAAAAAATATCACAGAATTTTAGGATACACGAACGCCAAAATTGTATGTTGATTCTATCGATGTGAACACTTAATGAATCAATAATAAGTAAGGGAATTTCACATTGCGTGCTTTATGTACATACATCCATAACTAAACAATTGCAGAGATAAGATTAGCAAAATATGTAACTGAAAAATTTAGCTAACCCGTAAAAAAAATGCTCAATGTGTAATACATAATAGGTTTATTCGCTTATTGAGAGTTTTTGTCAGTGTTTGGCTGCTCGCGTACACACAAAAATCCAGAAAAGTAGCGGAAATTGAGTGAGCAAAGTGGCATTTCATTTTGTTGAGAAGCAGACATTTTTCCAGCAGCAATTTGCCAGTAAGCAAACAGAAATAGTTTATAACTCGTCCAAGAAGAAGGGACACATTTTCTGGAATAAATGAGAATTGAATTTCAATTAGGGTAGCGACTTTTAACGTTCGTAGCGTTCGTTTAAAATCTCCAGTAAAAACCAACCAACTGCCAAATTCCGGCGAAATGTCATCTGTTCTCTCACAAGAGAAAAATATCCCAAATAGTACGCGAACAGAAAATTTGCAGAAACTTGCAAGTTAGACGAACAGCTGATATAATTTTTGTTTACATTCCAAAGTGTAAAATTTAAAACGTACGAAAAGTCATCACAAATTTTATTGATTAAACAAATAACTACTTATTTCTTACAAGTTTAATTAGTCGCATTTTGTAATTTTTAACTTCCAAACAATCAAATTCAATTTTGTGATTTGCGTGAAATGCCAACCAGCTGTTTTTGATCAGCTGTTTTCCTGTTGGCGAAAATTTTTCCAGCAGAAACCAGCAGCTTCCCCTCAAAAGGAAATGTCACTTTGCTCTCTCAATTTCCCCTACTTTGCAAGTTTTTTGCGTACGCGAACGCAAAAACTTGTAAGTTTTGGTTAAACATTAACAATTAACAGCTACGCGAAAGCAACTACTACAAAGAGCGTCAGCTGTTCATTAGAATTGAGAGGTTTATGCTGTAAGAATACGCGAACACACCTAAAATGAGAGTATTCAGTTGCAGCCGACCCAAAACTCTTACTTAGCATATATTAGTTGCGTTTTTTTACTCATTTCCAGTAAAATCCAGTAAAAGTTTTTACGAATTTTCATGTTTTGGCGTTTTCGTACGCAAAAACTTGCAAATTAGGGGAAATTGAGAGAGCGAAAAATGACAGTTGAAGTTGCAAGTTTTTACTGGATTTTACTGGATAAATTTTTACTTGTAAGAATTTGCCAGTACGAAAAACAGCTGATCGCATGTTGCTGGATGAAATTTAAACTAATAAGGAAACTGTTTGTGGGTTTTTATTGTTGAATTTCACAAAATAAACCTATTTAAATACAAAATATATTGTTTTATTAGGAATTTGCTGCGAATAAACAACCAATTTATCAGCTATTCATGAAGCTTGCAAATTATTACTGGAAAAGGGTTCGCGTACTTTTATGCAAATTTTTTCTATGAGAGCGAATTCTTAGAAACAAAGTTACTGGAGAGTTGCTGGCAAGTTACTGGATGATTTGTAAAAAAACACAACTATTGTGTGTGATGCTTCATCTACTGCGTCCGGTTAGTCTCCGTTGGTCATTTTGGCGCTGTCTAATATTAAACCGGCCGACCAATTGCGAGCGAATTCAATACTTTTTCAAAAAACAGGCTGCCAAAAAGGCGAGAAAGGTCAGAGGGATAGCCGTTTACCTTGAAACACAGGTTATCAATTCCATTTCTGGATGCTAATATCGAACAAGTAGTCATGTGCAAAATAATAGGGACACAAAATGTTGACCAGTTTTGGCTGCTTTTCTTTTGTTTTTTTTTTTTTAATGTTTATTATTTTCTTTCTTTTGAATACGGAATACTATGTGGTATCGCAAGCACTTACATACTTATTTTACAGGCATGAACACCAGCACTAAAAACCATGCTAAAAACTATCTTCTAAATAACTATAAAGCAAGAAATTTAAATTCTTTATTTTAAAAACGATTTCAATTATTTTCGATTCGAATTCCTGGTAATCCTTCGCCGGCTAGGAGACGTGCTTGTTGTTCGCACAAAGCGCGTATGCGTCGACGTCTTAAGAGTGCCAGCAAAACAATTAAGAAACTGCAAACGATAACCGCAAATACAACGAGTACTATACCGAGGTAATAGGTCATTCTGTTTAGTGTTTTTTTTTTTTTTAGTTTAAAAAGTAAGAAGCGTTACACACCGATGGCCGTGATAAACTAACTAGAATTTCAAATCGAAAAAATATTGTGTTTAATTATTGAAAATAATTAGCTAACAGTTATCTAGCAAGTAACTAAAATAAGCTTAGGGTTTGACATGATTTGTGATAAAATTAATACTAAACTACCGAAAAAGGTTCTCACTCGCAGCTGGTTGAAAGGAATATAGGTAAGCGTAAGTGTTTGGTATGAAAATTTTAATTTTTAAGAGATAGCACAAGTTTTTAATTCCACTTAATACATACAAAAGTATTTGTATTTACATACGTATGTTTGTATGTATACTTATACATTTTGGCACCGAAAATTTGATTTAAAAAACGACATTATATGTTTAATCAATTATACCCCCTAAATAAATAAATAATCGGTTCTGTTTTCGTGATATTTGTGTAATATCCTTAGTACTTTCTGCTCGCTTACACTCTCTAGTTGTTGTTGTATATGTTCGTAGAACAACTCCGCGGCGACGTCGTGTCATACAAATTAAAAGTACTAAGGTAAAAATTAGTAAAAATATTAAAACCGGACACCAAAAAGCGACATAAACGTAAACCATATTTAAAAAGCTATTCGCTACTTATTCATTCATTAAATGGAACTATTCGTTACGGCGCGAGTTGTTTTCTAATACGAAAACTAGACACTGACTGCCAAAATATAAAAGCGCCGCAAAGGCATTGAATAGCAAATGGATAAATCATATAGGAGTGTGCATACACACATACATATATACATATATGTATGTATATATATATATATAGATATATATGTACATATACAATGCTACTTATCAATTATCTTAGCTTATATTTTTTAGACTGATATGCAAACCGTAATGCATACGAAATTCGATAAGTAATGGACGACATGCCTGCGCCTTTGAGGTATTTTTCGTAATAATTTGCGTGCTTTCACAATTCACACCTTTTGTAACTTGTCCAACATTAAGAATTTAATTGTAATTTCTTAATAAAAAATTTATTACATACATATGTTACTAAGTAACTTACAAGATAAATCCCAAATGGTAAATAATTTCGTAAAACAACTGATCAAATGGAAATACATGGTATTTACAGTTTTTTTCTACTGAGCACAGGTAGATGCAAATACTATAAAAGAATAATTCTAAAATACAAACATATCGCACGTTTATTAAATATCGCTAACTTAGAGTCAAAAGTTGCAAAGTCCGGTTTTTTTTTCAAATTTTGCAGCAGACAATAAAAACATTTTAAACTAGTTTTTTTTCAAGAACTTGTTTTGCAAAAATTCAAATACATATGTACAAGACTTCTGTTCTTATGAGCTAAAACCACGCTACGCTAGTCAATTTCCACAACGTTAATGAAACGTTTTTGTATTCTTTGGAAGTTATCACATTTTCTGTGTCTATTTTGTCTCAGCAAAAATGCGAATCACGAAATAAGAACGGTTTGAAATAGAATAGATAGTTCGATCTCTTAGGAAACAATGAATTTGTAATTGTTTTTGCTACTTGCATCAAAACATTCGTTTTTAGAAGAAGTGAACTTAACCACATTTCACTCTGAGCTAGCGATATAAAGAATAAATTCAAAATTAAAGTTGTTGGGGACTTTAACATGCAATTAATAAGCTTGATAAGGATTATCCTCTCAAAAACAGATGAATTAACTCACCAAAAATGGTGATTTTTTCATACCAACTATCTACATACAGACACACATACATATCGATGGATGTAAACTGATTGCATTTTCCCACAAAATTAAAATCTTTAATTAATGAGCTATATTATTAAATGAGCCATATATTGAATACTGTTAAGGGGCGATACTCTATAAAAGTTTCAGCTATATGGTTTTATGTAGCAACAATAAAAAAAAAACAATTAAATAATTTAATTGCACTGTTATTAGATAGATATTAAGTTAATATGTAAAAAAAAATAAAATAAAATAAAAAAATATACACTGCCGGAATATAGTATTGGTACAGCGAGAAGGAAATTCCGAAAAATCTGATTAAAAAGGTGAAAAATTGCAGGAAAATTCATTGAATTTTCGCGAGTTTTGCACAAAGTTTAGAAACTATATTTTTATGTTTTTGTTGTAAAATGAACCATATTAAAAAAAAAAAAAAAATTTGCGGAAAAATAGGATTTTGTGCATATGCTAATGAAAATTCGCTGTGCCAATACTTTTGTGCGGCAATGTATATAGATATTATCAGAAATAGCAATGTACTGGTATTTTTAATATTAAAATTTTTTAAACCCCCTATATTTCTTTCGATGGTGAATTTTTACAAATAGCATAATCACGCCCACCTTGAAAGTCTATTACTCATGAAGACTAGATATGGGTAACTCAGCACTGAGCGGAGTTATCGAGCTGACTCCCAGGCTCAGTTACGGTCTGGATACTGTAGCCGCCTGTCCAGACTCGACCCCAATATCCCCAATGAGTGCCCGGCATGTGGAGAATCCCCTCACATGCCAGCTCAATCCGACTCAACTGACACCCTCTCCCTTTGGTCCGACCCCATTGAAACAGCTCGTTTCCTGGGCCTTCCGTTAGTTGAGTTTGACGACAATGATTGAATGTTGACCCGAAATAGGCGGGGCTTGGTAGTGCCGCTACAACAACAACAGCTGACTCCCAGGAGTGTGTCGCACGCTCAGACTCACTTCTAAAAAAAAACAATATGTCTCAGTAACTCAATAAAAATTCGTCACATAGTCGGTACTCATAAAGAGAAAATTGCGAAAAATTGAAATGTTGTAAAAATGTACATTTCATTCAAGTTATTCCGCGCACCAGCTCTACAGTGCTCATCAGCTCTACAGTGCATGCCAACTCTATTCCTCTTGACAGCTCTACAAGGCAAACTAGCTCTACAGCGCTCATCAGCTAAACAGCGCTAACCAAATCTAGGCTGTGCTGCCTCGACAGCAAAGTGTCATAGCTCAATTGAAGGGGTCTAAGGGTCTAAGATCATTTTTTTAAATATAAGTTATTTGTATATTGTACACTATATGTGTTTTTTTGGTGACAAGGAGTAAACATACTTTGAATAAGTTAATTAACCTGCACTCATTTAGACAAGGTCCATTTCAAATGCATTTACCCAGAGAATTTACAATAAGTCAACTTTAACCTTAATTATCTCAAAAAAATTTCAGATCTACTTAGATCCTTTTGATTCTAACCCCTTCAATTGTGCCACTGAGCTGACTCATTAAAATTAGCTCGAGTCATTGAGTTAACTCGTGAAAATTCACTGAGTTACCCAGCCGTACTGGACACAACCATTCTGCACTTTTTTCATAAAAGTTTCCTTTAAAACGTTTTATTTACAGACTGCGAGTCCCATTTTCATTTGGTTACACGGAATTTTTTTTAGTTTTTATTTTTGCTACTGAACGCTTTTCCAGTAAAACCTTAAAACAACATGTAACAATTAGTAATTTTTTAAACCCGTATCCGGTGAAAGGGTATCTCTGTGGGGTTAAACATTTCAAACAAAAATATGGTGGACATTCGAGACAAAGATATTTGGCAGAAACTTTATGTTGTGAGGACAATCAAAACTTGATATCCTGCGAAAATATGTCAAAATGTATCAATCATTCAAAAAAAAAAAAGAAATCAATTATGTAGGTGAGAAATGCTTGTTGTGAGGACAATAACAATTGCAATAAATATAAATTTTTAATTGTATTTTCTGCTTTTCCACGTAAAAATTTATGAGTCAGAGCAAAGAGTGCGAATACAAAATCTGTAATAAGTAGACTTAATTTACGTTTGAGATTTATAACACACAGTAGTGTATGAATGCGTAATGAATTTGCTATCAATTATAACGCTTCGCTTATTTTATATGTACTCAGTGGTATGTATGCATATTATAATAACAAACAAAAACATACATAATACGCTCGCTTAGAACCTGTATGCATAGTTTGAATGTAGATGTGCACCAACGCCATGGTAGATATTTCTTTGTACAAGCACAAAATAATTGTTCACTTCTACAACTATGACTTCTTTGGGTGTTCCCTTTAACATAATGCAAGTGTATGGATATATTTTTACCAAGACAGCGTTGTCTTCTAAGAAAAGTGACTGAAGTGTTATTTTTACTTACTGGACAATACAGCACCGTGTCGCTTTGTGGTGCAACAATAGCTGCAGCAGCTTATGAAGAACACCGCTAGGAATATGAATGTCAACAGCCCCCAAAAATCCATTTCGTCAAAGTCAAAATATTCAAACGGATCCACTATGTCCGTGATGATGCGTGCTCGATATCCGGTAAGTGGAACTTCCTCAAACTTGCGTTTTGAGCAATTGTCAGCTTACTGCAATCGTATTAACGCAGCTGCATTGAGAATAAAAACATTTGAGGATCTTAAATTATTTTAGATAACTTACAGTGGCTTTGTAGTGCAATTTTTCTTTATGGCCAAATGATTCTGCAATTGTTAACCTGTACGGGAGCTTGATGAATTCGATAAGATATTTGTAATCTGTAGCTTGTTTATTGCCCCTAGTTTTCGGGTTTTCACAATTTCGAGCAAATTCACAGTTCTGATTGGAAATTCTTGATAATAGACAGGTTGCATGGAGCTGTGTTTAGAGATCACAATTTGCATTTTGTATTAAGCAGCGAGCACAAAAACGACGGTTACGTTTTTGTAGAATCAGAGAAGGTAAATTTATAACGCCGGTAACATAGTGAAGCGGCGAAAAAAGCAAACAAGCAATGCGTCGATTACAAACGTACATGTTTCAATGGGAGCGCGCATAATGAAGGTCAAGGCATATTAAACAGATAATCTAGAATATCAAAACAAAAAGATATGTAAACACGTTCGAGCGACGAGGTAAATGGGAGGGCGCCGAATTGCTCAAGCGCGGGCAACACGTTTGTGCTCTCGTTCGTATAAGTAATTCAAGTTGGCGTTTCACAGCCGACAACAACAATTGTGTACAAAAGAGTTGCTCTGTGTGAATGCGATAAGCAATACCACAAGAGAAGTTGCCGAAAATGAGCAACAAAAGTTTCCGTGTCTGAACTCAGTCTAAGGGACAACTTGTTACTCTAAAATTGGGTCTCTGTTTTCACAGCCATTTTCGGAAATGAAGAAAATTTTAGTTTGTGGTTATTTAAAACATTAAAATGAAGTAGCAAATTTCAGATTTTTTAATGTCATTGCAATATCACGAAAAAGGTATGCTTTCTAATGCTCAGTCAACAAAGTCAAAGCAAAGAACGTAAAGGCCGGTCCACATAGACAGAACGCACGTTAAAAGTATGCTTGCTACAATGAACGCTTGGCTGCGAATGCTTGGGCCACTAAATTAACAGACTAACGACAGATAAATTAATATTTCATATCAATAATTTCACAAAAAACGATATTTCCTGCCCGCACTTAATTAGAAAGGAAAAATATTTCACACAATTTTATTTATTTGCAACAGCTGACGAGCGACGCACGCGAAAAGATAAGAGTTGGCCATCTTTTTGCTTTGTTTTGGCGTGAGCGTTGCCGAATTTTGGATATGTGGACGGCTGCATTTGAATTCATGTATTTATAGTCAGCTGTTGAACCGACGCCAACGCCAACGCAACGCCAAAGTTCCATGTGGACGGGCCTTAAATCTATGTTTAAAATAAATCCTTGTTTAAAGAACACATCTTTGTTCAAAAAACGTTCCTTGCAGAAAGATTATCGCTCTTCGTAAACCATCCTTTAGACGCACGTATTTCCCGCCTAGTTTATTACGATTGTGAATGACGTCTAAAACGAAGAAGCATCAATCAGCTGGTTGCTAAAATAAAATAATTGCATGCAAACTGGTTTTGGATTACACGTACTTATTTTTCATAATTCGTCGTGCTCAAACAATTATTAAAAACTAATATCTTTGGTAATGTAATAATGCGATCCGGGCGTAAGCACAAGAAGAACTTTAAACGCAGTGGTTCAAATTACTTGAGCAACAGTGTGACTAGTCCCGTAGCTAGTTCACATACCACATTGAGAAATAAATCAAGAGGGAAACGAAAGATACGCAATCCATTTAAACGGCGACTATCTAAAAAACAAAGTAAAATATTATCAAAAAAGCTAAGGGGTAACCACGGCGACTCTATGGATTCAAGCGAATCTAGTCCTGACGTCACAGTCATAGAAGCTACTAGCGTTCCAATGGTATGTACATATCTAGGATAATTCAAATGAAATGACCATGTTTTTATTGTTTATCATTACGTATGTTTTGCAACATTAGCACGTTAGTAAAGATATCATTGTAGATAGTAGATGCTGCATGTGTATGTATTTATTTGTCTTTGTTTTTGACAAAACCAGCGCGTGCGTATTAAAAATGCCAAAAGGATTGTCTAGGAATTAGTTGGAGTTGCCAGCGCGGTCCTATTCGGACGTAACTTATGGCTTTAACATGGCATCAATATTTAAACCTTGATGTTTTCTCAAGTTAAAGCTTAAACAGATGGCAGCGTTGATCTGGATTAACTCGGACATAATCCGGATCAACTGCAGTTAATTCCCGAGTTTATCCGGACCTGCCGTCTGTTTATGCTTTTTCCTGTTACTTTAAAGCCTCATATTTACAGGTTACATTATAATTTATATTTTATTTTCGGTTTTAAATTAGTTTACAACCAAGTGACATACATACGTCAAAAACCGATAATAGAAATGCTAACTCTAGACATGGCTTATTTTTAATAGATCCTTTAAATATAAAGTGAGCTCTAAAGTTAAAGGTTACTTCATTGTAATCAAAATTCATATACATTTTTTAATTGATTTCTCTATAAATTGTTTAATACATACCACACGTTTAATGAATAGATTTTTCTCCATAATTTTAATTTATGAAAAGCGCAAACGGAGTTCGATCAATTCGAATACATAATCGTACAAAATAAACAGATAGAAAGACATACAATTCGATACCTTAGCATAGAAAGGCCCTATGCCACAATTTTGTTTCTTCAAACATAGTTTGAAAATTTAGCGAAAAGCAAAGTTCTACAGTTACCAAAATCGTCGAAGTGCTGATTTTATTAAACATAATAATTTTTATAACGCTGTATTATTTGTTTTCAATTTCTATTAGATATGTACATATATTGTGAGCTATTTGACAGATTTTGTACAGATCTGGATTCGAAATGAAAATGAGTTAGGGCCTTTCTATATTAAGGTAACGATTTGTATATTCGCCATCTTTCGGCAGTTAAGTCATATGTTAAAGCTGCCCATATTATCCTTATCAAGCTTACTAATTATATGACGAAAGCTCACAAAACGTGAGTTTTGAATTAATTTTCTTTATTGCTAAAAATTATATATACATACATACCTATATATATAATAAATAAATCGTAAATGTGTGCTCTGAAAAGTAATTTCTAAAGAAATCCCCGAAGCGTGGCAGCTCCAAAAACAAATAACGGTTTTGCATCCCTATAATGTAGAAAATACCCAATCTATGACCCCCAACCCACTCAACCCTCAGCTAAACGAACTGTCAAAAAGTAAGATTAAAAAAAGTTTACTCAGGTTGAATCATCTTTATAAGCAGCACGGAAATAGTCTCCCGTATTGAAAAACAGTCATTGATTTTCACAAGTCGCGGGCAATTCGTTACAGTAAAGCGTTTCCTTATTTAAAGTTAAAGAAAAGTGCACACTAGTATTTATAATTTCGTTAAGTGTATTAAAGCAAAAAAGTAAGAAATGGAAGTTTTGTGGCATAAGGCGTGTAACCATTTTGCAGTGCCTGAAGATGTTGCCAAAAGCTGGTACGCACGCATAAATCAACGTTTAAATGAAAGTCAGTCAAAACGTTACTACCATAATTGGAATGAAATGATGCAACATAAACAAGAACATCTGCAACACTTTAAGCCTACTCTGCTGCTGGCGGCATTCTTTCAATACTACTCGTACGATGGCATACAGCCTTGTGCGAAAGGAAATTGTGCAGCATTTGAAGAATTTTGTTGCGATGCAGCGCTGGATGATGTAAACGCTTTAATCATATTTTAAAATGTGTATACATATGTGTTTCATCAAACTCGTTTCATGCAGCAAGAATCGAAAAACTTAATATTGAAGCTTTTGGGTGATAATTCGGCTGAGAATGAGCTGTCCACAACATACGAAGATGATGCAAACTTACTGCAGGACTTAGATCTCGTTATACTGGCGTAAATATTTTTTAATGAAAACTAAAATATATCCTAAACTCAGATCTGTACAAAATAAATTTTCTTGAATATTTATATATAGCGCAAATACTGAAACCTATAAGCGTTATTGTCAACTACTGCGTCGAGAGTATGAACATATGGCTGACGAAGAATATAAAAGTATGCGCTTAAAGGTAATATAAATTTTGTAACAAAGTTGTTTTTTGAATAACTATTGATTCTTTTAGGTACTTCAAACGTTACTAAGCATACCAAATATATTTTCAACACCAGAATTTCAAACGCGTTATGAAGCTGCAGCTCGCTCAAATATGAAAGATGAAATAAATACACTCAAAGCATAATTTAAATAGAATTTTATGAAGGAAATCACCAAATATTTTTAAATCGATGTTAATTCGTGCGCGTGGCTTACACGGGTTCTATATAGCTATTCAGTAAATGTTAGCTTAAACAGTTCTGCGCATATATAGGTACTACATTGCGTATTCGTATTGCATACGAAAAACACTAAAATCAGTAATCAAAAACGAGACATTTAGAAGTTGCAACTCAATCAAATGAAAGTTAACTTATGTAATTTGAAGTATAATATGTATTTAGTCTAAAGTTACTCGCTTGTATGTATGGATTTAAATAATATTTAGCTAGTAATTATGTAAGTTGCGTTTGTGGGCTGCAGCAGTTTCAAATGCATATATAAATTATAATTAATTTTGTAATTATTTGCAAAAAATATTAATTTCCCCATTAGTTCCTTGAAGAAATAAATGAAGATCGATCTCAATGGTGTCAAATTCAAAACAAACTACCAAACATCCAACCCACCTGTATATGCAGACCGACTAACTGTTTAATTTTCGACTTCGCTAAACCACAAGGGCACAAACAATTCTTTGAAAATATTTAGTAAAAGCCTCACATATTGTGCGTGTATTTATCTAATTTAAAGGAAACAATAATGTACAATAAATATGTTAAAAATGAAAACATGTGTTTTATTTAATCAAGGGCTACTATCACTGAATCCATTGTAGTCCGAATTTTTGCGAAATCATATGCATACTTTGAATGCGTACGTTTGTAGCAATTCGGATTCTGTGATTGCATTTGCGTAGATTTCATGATAATCGGACTACGTGGGATTCAACGATAGCCCAGAATAACTATTTGCTGTCTTGGTAAAGTAATTCGAAAATCGGCGAGCGAAGGGAATGTATACTTTTCCTCACATTCGTGCTTTTTCATTCAGGTTATTTTACCAAAATAGCAAAGATACATATACATATTAAACTTACATCGCTGGATTCATACAGGTAATTATGTACAAGACGACAAGCTAAAATGTAAACTTCAAACTGCAAAAAAGTTTGAATAGTAAATTTTGTAAAAGAAATATGTAGCTTCATTGAGCAGAAAATTTGTGACTAATCCTCGTGGTCTTAAATAAACAATTCGCAAAAAAATATGCTAGGCTGGATAACTGACCGTTGATTTTTGGTTAAATTTAATTAAAATTCCTTCAAAACTTTAGCTTGTTGTCTTAGCAGGTAAGTACTCTCTAGTAATAAAGGTATTTAGTTGCCGCTTTAACAATTATAAAATGTTTCTTGAATAACGTTTTTATTTTTTGTTTTTAATTTTTGCATTATTTAAGCCGAAAGTGGATGAGACACCCGTAATCAGGAATAAGCTCAAAAGCGTTGTGTTTAAAAAGTTTCGTGACAATACGGTATGAACGAAACATAAAATATAAAAGCGTTTATTACATATGGAATTATTTTTTTTTATGCAGGAACGTCGCTTAGACTTACGTAAAAAAAGGCTTAACCGTAAATCTTTTGACGGAGATACAACAAGTGATAGCCAAAGAATAACAAAGAAGCTTTTGCGCTCCATAAAACGACGCCACTTACAGAACCCATATAACTTGATGCAAGTGCAGCGTGAGAATATGTTGAAACGTAGATTACATCTGACGAATACTTCTACAAAAGTACTCAAGCCAACTATATCGCACAATGTAACTATTGAAGAAGGAGAAATAATATCTGATGATGAAGTCAATCATAGTCAAACCAAAAAAGCTCTTAATACTAAACCATCAGGGACCTCAGCTGTCGAAACTGATGATGACTGTATTTGTATTGAACCGCAAATAGAGCAAATTGTTATTGATGACGATTTGCCAGAAACATCTCGCTCTAAGCGCAAAAATAACATATCATCCGGTTACGTTTCTTTACTACAGGGCATTAATGACCGCGATAGTAAACTCACTAATAAGCTAGTTACATCTACCCCGTACGGTGAAGGATCCAAGCGTCCAGCTGTGCGAAATTCAACACAATGCAATGAAAATGATATTGGTGATTTAACAGGGCTGTTTTATGAAGATGTATCAATTATAAATCCGCTGGAGACTATAATTTCGGAAGATACATTCACCAATTATACCAAAATGTCGACATTGGTAGGTGAAGAGCGAAAAGCGAAGAAGAAAAAACGGATTGGAAATAAATCGCAAAAGCAAAGTGCTGACATTTCGAAAGACTTTCTTACTTTGGATGAGACATTAAAATTAGCAAACCCAAATGAGGAAGAGAACGAAAAGGAAGTCACCCAAACGGATGACTCAGTGATATTTATTAGTGAAACGGTTGTAAGATCAGACAAGCCTGCACCAATGATGGATTATGTGCCGCTGAGTAGTAATGATGTACCAAATGTAAGTTAACTTTATTTTACAATAACAAGTTCATCACATACATATCGTTACCTGAAATTCTAAAAATACGTAACAACATCGTAACTGAAATGGAAAAAGTCGTGACTAATGTGTATAATTTTTTTTTCTATAAAATGATGTGGGAGTTGTAATTTGATGAAATCCACCACATCAATCAAAGACTGACTTTTGTATTTTTTATTAGTTACGACTTTTTGCATTTCAGCGACAATGTTTGTTACGTCTATTTGCATTTCAGGTAAAATTGTACATTTTTTTCGTATAACTGTGACATATAGCGCTTTTTAAGCCATTAGAATCGGCCTTAAGGGGAATGAATTAAAAACTCGAATTCCGAGATATTTGAGCTTATCGAGACTTTAAGGTTTAAGCAAAAATTCCAAATGTTTTGTACATTTTATTTTTTTTCCAATAAATGTATTGCGGCATCTTTTAATTATTTGATTTTTTTTTATATGCAGCCAATTTTCGTGCCAAAGAGTCCGCCGCGTCCACCGAGACTAGCAGCTATAAAAAGTGGACTTTTCACAAACAGTGAAAAGAAGCAGCTAGATGCCTACAACGACAATACGTATAATCCAAATGCTGATGATCCCAAAGCACGGGAAAAACGAACTTCCAAGCGCTTAGTACTCATCGATGGCTGTAATGTAGCCTTTAAGTAAGTTATTTGCACGCATTTGACATTAATAACTAGAACTCTAACTAACTAGAAGCTAACTTAACTGTCCGGATATTTGAATATCTGAGTAAAACAATTCCGATATGCGGATATCCGAATATTGTGCTGATATTCAGATATCAGGATTTTCGAATTTAAAAATTAACTAAAATAATTGTGTATCAAATTTGAGAAAGTTTTGTTTCTGCGAAACCGTGAAATGATAACATTTTTCATCACTTCTCAAAATACTACGATATGTTTTGAAAAATGAAAACAAATTAATTTGTCAAAAAGTTTTCACATGTGAAAAGATTTTTCACAAAGTTTTTTGGCTGTGAAAAAGATAATTGGGGCACTTTGCTCAAAAACATAATCTTTGAACAAAGAATATCAGTGTGGTTGATCACACTTGCCTGGTTATTGGGTTATCTGGTTGCCTAATAACCAGGCAAGCGTGAACAACCACAGTATTTCTTACTCGCAATAATTAACTGAATAATTACCTGATCGATGTTTATGGAAAAGCCTTTAACGATAGATAAAGTGAAAAAATCTAAAATCTTTACTGAATTTGAATTTTTCATTTTCACTTCAACACTTCATAGAACGAGAATTTCGCTTTTTTTACCCCATGCACATTTTTTGTATGTATAAATGCATTTAAAAATTTGTGTTATCTTTTCGCATTTTAACTTTAAATATTTTTTTTGATTTTTTTTTCAGTCATTCGCTTAACAGAGAATTTTCGGTAAAAGGCTTAAAAATTTGTATTGAATTTTTCGAAAAATTGGGCCATGAAGTCAAAGCTGTTTTGCCACAATTTCGTATGCACAGATGTTCCGATTCTGCTGCCATGACCGAATTACGTAACGCTGGTAAAATTGTGGTTACACCTTGTAAAAATTTGCCAGGCATGTTTTCTTCTAGCTATGATGATCGGTAAGTGCAAAGCGATAGACAACGCTTATAAGTAGTAATACAAATTTTGAAAAAAATATATATATAAATGTTTTTTTTTATAACATAAATGCAGTTTTATCTTACAATTGGCTGCCGAAATGGATGCAGTCATTGTTTCAAATGATAACTATCGCGACCTGATTAATGAAAATAGGGCCTTCAAAAAACTAATAGAGAACCGTGTTATTGGTTTTACCTGGTGCAATGATCTATTTATGGTAGCCAAAGATCCATACGGCAAATGGGGCCCGCCATTGCATATCATCCTAAATCGAACGTGAATCCAATATTCATTAAGTCTTCTATAATCTAGTTTTAGGCATTTAAATTCTTATTTTATGTTAACTTTTTACTGTGCCTGTATATTTATGTATAGCTTTTCATTTTTAGATTCATACAGAATTTTTTTTTTTATGCATTTAAAGAAAAAAATGTTAATACAAACTTGAATTTTTATATATCGTAAGACATTTTATTGAAACAAAATAAAATGAAAAAAAAAAATGTAATCCAAATAAAATATAAAATTACTGTGTTTGCTTGATCGCCGCTTATTAACATTTTGACAGTGAATACATTCCAAAAAAGATGTCAAATTTACATATTCGGCCGGTGATGGGTTTAGTGCGCAACGTTGAATCTTAATAGTTTCTAGTTTGTTTTGTGAGACACTCTCTGCTAACTCAATAACTTCATAACTTCTATACGTGGTTGAATAAGAATACAGAACTCTTAATTTTTTATCAAATGCATCTTGTTTTAAATTTATTTATTTTTTTTTAATTTTTTAGTTGTGTTACCTTTTTACTTTTCGTTTGTATAGTTTTCTTTACCTTGTTCATTATTTTTGGCATCTTTTATGCATTCTTGAGCTATTAAATTTCTTTGAATAATAAAGTACTGTTATGTGTTGAGTTTTGTATTTAATTATTCTGCACGAAATACACAGGAAATTATATGTTTTTTTTTTAACAAAATTTTAACCGTTTTCTAAAATGTTCATATGTATCATTATATATTTTCTGATAAATCGTACAGTATAGTATAGAAAACTTATGGTACTATGCTTATTGTAAATACTATATACATTTATTAACTTTATTCAGTAACATTGCATCAAGACTAATTGTTTAACATAAATACAAGTGTGTGTATATAAGTAGATGTAGCATAGTTATAAGGGTCGTCGTCTATGTACTTTTATCACTGCGACATCGGTTTCGGTGCTTCGTTGCTTGTGTTTATAGCACCAGCTGGATTAGCGCTCAAGTCTGTACGGCTTGCAGCTACTTCAGTTATACATGTTTCAATCGTTGTTGTGGAAGCAGTCATTGCCATAGCATTATCCACAGCACCCTCCTCCATTGCACGCAACTGTTGCTTCGCATCGATGTAATTTGCCATAGCATTCTCGTATGTTGGCGGATTATCCCATGTTGATATTGCTGTTCCTGCGCTGGCAGATTCGTTTGGCGTTACGCATGTGGCGGTTCCGTTTCCTTGAGCGCGTAGACGAGCTATGGGAGAGAATAAAGGTAAAAAACATATTTAGTTATGAGTATACACATTTATTTACTAGTTTTTTCTTTATTTAATATTTTCGACTTTGGCAGGATAACCTATTATTCTAGTATCAGTTCAGTTCAGTGAGTCAATAAAGTTTAGGTACAGCGATTTTTTTTTACAATACTGGCTATTTTTTTCAAATATTATATTTTTCGACAATTTTTTATAAAAATATGGTTAATTCTACAATAAAAGCCCCAAAAATCAGAGTTCCAAACCTTGTGCAAAATTAAAGAAAATTCTGCAAAATTTCATTCAAGTATTGCACTTTATATTTACGCTCTCTAGAAAAAAGTTGAGTATGCAGTTTTTTAGCCCATTCAATTTTAGTATAATGAAGTGCAAGTTTGAGGTAGCTAGGACTTACCATAGATTTTTAGTACTTTTTTTTGTTGAAGGTGGCGCTCATTTTCTCCATATAAATTAATGTTTCATAATTTTTTTATATGGAAAAAATGTGCGACACCTTCAACAAAAAAATTTCCCAAAAATCAATGGTAAGTCCTAGCTTCCTCATACTTGCACTTTATTATACTAAAATTGAATGGGCTAAGAAACTGCATACTCAACTTTTTTCTAGAGAGCGTAAATAAAAAGTGCAATATTTGAATGAAATTTTGCAGAATTTTCTTTAATTTTGCACAAAGTTTGGGACTTTGATTTTTGAGGTTTTTGATGTAGAACTAACCATATTTTTATAAAAAATTAGCGAAAAATAAAATATTTAAAAAATAGTTGCCCGTATTGTAAAAAATTTGCTGTACCTAAACTTTATTGACTGACTGTATGTATATTTGTACATTAAGGTGCCTCACCAAAAAAAAATATTTTAAAAATACTAAGATTTACGGGATCTGAACCGATTTGAAAATACCTTCAAAAATTTTATTATTTTGTTTTTGTTGATACAATTTTTAGACATTTTTATGCAGACTTTCTAAGCTTAAACTCTTTTATCAACTGGCGTAAGTTTTTAACCCTAATTTTATTTATAAAAAAACTAATTTTTTTGAGATTTTTCAAATCGGTCCAGCTATGTAAATCTAATTGGGGTCTACTCTATACTGCGATTCGAAAAGCAAATAATTTGCACTCAATAATTGGCCCTATGAATTTATATTAGTCCGTGTCGGCTTTCGAGTCGCATTGAGTTTCAAATCGCAATACAGAGTAGACTCCCTGAACTATTTTGGCGGAAGTCTCACAATTAATATAATACATTTTACCTATTTACTTTTTAAATTTTAATGCACACCTTCTAAGCTTAAACTCTTTTAGTACCTGAAGTATTTTTTTTTTTTGTACAATTATTTTTTATACCTAATTTTATTTATAAAAAACTAGATTTTTGGATATTTGCAGTTGTATTTGTTTATTAAAAACCAGCGTTTTAAAGAAATTTGCAACTGAAGAGTTTTGGTTCTTATGTAGCTTTTAGCGAAGCGCATATTACCGCTAATCTGACGTTGCGAATCCGCAAAACCAAAAATTACAACAGTGCTAACCATATATTT